TAATGTTTTGCATTGTTTCTGAGGTTCTTAAATTAATTTGATCTACATTTAACTTAATATTATTCATATCATTAAATAATACCAAGCATCCATGATATGGACATTTACAATTGAAAGCATTATATGTTAATGTTAGCAGTGAATGTTCTGGAAGGTCATCTAAAAAGACTGAAAAAATGGGTAGCACTATAAATCACCATTATTTGTTTGAAGAACAAACCTATTGTCTTTATAATCAAGCAGTGGCTTTAAAATTACATCCAAAGAATGTTGATATGCAGACTGTTTTGCAAATAAAAAATTACTTGATTTTTTTTAAGTAGTTGTTTTTGATTTTAAGATTGGAAGATAAGCCAAAAGAGCTTTAGAATCAGGTTTGTTTCTGTGCTAACTAAAAATATTGCCTAATATCAAATATACTAGATGTTCATTTGATTTTCCTAGTTGGTCACATGTAGTAGTGTTGGAATATAATATTATTGATAAAATGCTTGCATCATAAGGAATTGTTTCTTTTGCCCTTTCCCACCATTTTCCATTAAATTGTTTATAATATATCTGTTGCCCTTGGTAGTACAATGGTGTAAGCTCAAAGACACAATAATTAAGTATATCTTCATTGCTTAACAATTCTTTAATAGCATCAAAAATTGGACAGTAATTAAGATAGTATATTTCATCTTCATATTCTACTATAGGTACTTTCTTAAAAGAAATATGTTGCACCATAATTTTGTCTAAACACTGCTTTCTTTGTTGTATTAAGGTAGGTAAAATGATATTATTATATGCTATTTTTTTTGAAAAATGAAGTATTTTACTTATACATGAATCTGACAAATTCTATTTAATAACCAACTTCATAAAGTTACTGAATTTTTCACTTGGAAAATTTGGCATATTCTCATTATTTGCTGACCCAACATCAAGAAACTCAAAAACTAATAGTAACTTAATCTCAAACAATCAACACTTTACAATATTCATCTATATATGTATATATATATATAATTTTTGTAATTATTGAGTTATATAATAAAACTTAAAACCCTTAAAAATATATATTAATATATATGTATGTACTATATATGTATAATATACACTCACCTGACAAAAGTCACTGGCTTGTAGATCATTTTTATAATAAAACATATTAAATATTGAAATTTTTACACTATAAGCAAGGTTGAAATTTTTATTATCGAATAAAATTTTAATTTATATTATTACAAATCTCATTGATTATACTTTTCATAAATTGCTTTTTTAAATTTTTTTAATTTTTTAAAAACATCAGTCTAATCAAGAAGTAAACCTTTTCAAATTTTTATAATTAGAACTTATAAACATTTAAAAAGGTTTACTTCTAGATTAGACTGACATTTTTAAAAAAATTTAAAAAATTTAAGAAAGCAATTTACTAAATCTATAATTGATAAAGGTTGTAATAATATAAATTAAAATTTTATTCAATAATAAAAATTTTAACCTTTCTTATAGTGTAAAAATTTCAATATTCACTATGTTTTATTATAAAAATGATCTACAAGCTGGTAACTTTTGTCAAGAGAATGTATGTACATACTATATATAGTACTTATGTACCTCTGGTTCACTTATCTCATCTATGGCATCTTCATTATTTATTTCATCTATCTCAATATCATCATTATTTGCTTTATTTATTTCATCTATTTTATTAGTTTCATTGTTTATTTCTTTACTATAACTAATTTCTAGCCTGTTTGTTTCTTTTATTTCATCTACTTCAACACCTTTATTTATTTCATAATTCATTTCATTATCTTCATTATTTATTTCTTCACTATAACTAAATTCTAACCTATTTGTTATCTCATCTATTATATTGTTTTCTATTTCTGGTTTAATATCTTTGCTATTATTAAATGAAAACCTATCTATTTCATCTAGCTGGTATCGTTCCATTGGTTATTAATTTCATCTTTCCATTGAATAAATTGTTTCTTCTTTAATATGTTATTACTGTCTTTTGCTATAACAATTTCTTAAAGAAGGTCTCCAATTGTATTATTATGAATTTTTAAATGATTGAGCACAGAAGAATGATATTTAAAGTATCTATTACAGCCTGGTTCAGAACAATTGTGCATCATATATTTATGCAATGTCACAAGTTAACTAACGTCTAATATGTAATATAATTAAAATAATATAATTGGTTAATTTAATGAAGGTCTATTGCTAAAATTAGTGGTTAGATCTTGTTATCTGTTTATTTGAATATAAGTAGATGAAACACTTAATTCAGATAATTTATCTGATCCATAAATTGATAATTGTTAATCTGAATTAACTGGATTTATCTGATAAATCCAAATTAACTAGATTTATCTGATAATATCTAGTAGCATTTAATGGTAATTGCAGCAGAATATTTTAGTTATAGCAGAATCCTGAATACTCTAATCTGGTTTGAAATTAAACTTATTTATCATTATCATAATTGTTATGATTATTAAGAACAATATCTATTAATTACTTTTTGATTCCTTTTAGAATTAGATAGCTTTGGTTGGAAATTAAACTTATTTATCATTATCATTTTTGTTATGATTGTTATGATTATTAAAAAAAAATATATCTATTAGTTGCTTTTATTTTTTTTTTAGAATTAGATAGATTTGTAGTTTTGGTTTGAAATAAAACTTATTTATTGTTATCGTTATTATAATCATTAATAAAAATATCTATAAATTGCTTTGTTTTTTTTTAAATTAGGTCAACCTAGTTTTGTAAATAATCAAATTCAAAAAGAGCAATAAATGTAATAATAGAAAATATATAAAGTTGCAAAAACTAATAAACTTGCAAAAACTATTAAACTTTAATTTTGAAACTTTAATTTCTAGCAAAATGGATGCACAAGTTGTTTTAGAAGAAAGTAGTGAAGATAACTTAGAGTTAACTAATTTCATAGCTTCTTTTGATTATGAATCTGTAACTTCTTTCAGTTATGAATCAATCAATATTACTAGACATAGTGAATCTTAGTTTAATAGTAAAGTTTGAAAATACTTTGATAAAGATAAAATATCTGAATATGGTATTTGTTATGTTCAGATTTTTGGAAGAGATAGTACACAACCATGCAATAAAAAGATATGATATGCTAGTTCTACTGGAAATTTTTGGTATCACTTAAGAACTGCACATAGAATTTTTAATACTGATGACAATAATTCAACAAGTGATATACTGAAAGATGCAATAGAAAAAAATCTATTAAAAAAAAAACATATAGATAAAATAATCATTAAGTTTATAGTTAAAGATCAACAACCACTTTCAGTTCTAACTGATGAGGGTTTTACTAAGCTAATGGCAGAGGTATTTCCATCTTACAAATTACCCTCAGAAAAGATAATTAAATCAATATTGTTAGAATCTTATAACTACATTAAACAAACTATAGGTTCTAATATTTCAAGAGATTTGGCAAGTGTTCTCTTACTCTCAATTTGTGGACAGCAAAATCTTAACAAAGATATAGGCTGTATCATTACTTCTGATACATTATATTTTATTAAATAAATTAAAAAGCTTATTAATAATATTAAATCTAATGACTGTTATTTTAAA